TGTTTTACTTTATCTAAAAGACGAGCTGTTGTAAAAGGAGGAGGGCTTATGACACCAACCCTCGCACATGCATCAACCAGATACTTGTTAGCTTCTTCGCTAGCCAAGTCTTTTGGTATGTTGAGGTTAGCCACCTTCTCTAACTCTCCAATCATCTCAATCCTTCTGAATGGAGGAGTAGAGTCGATTTCGATTGGCTCCTTATCATACCCATTAGCATGATACTTGATTTTGTAACCACCTGTTAATTCCTTGACCAAACCACTCAATATATCCTCAGTCATTTCCATCAAGTCATAGTAGTCTGCTAAAGCCATATAGAACTCGCAAGTGGTGAACTCTGGATTGTGGGTCGTGTCAATACCCTCGTTTCTGAATTGTCTTCCTATCTCAAAAACACGTTCATCTCCACCGATAACAAGTTGCTTAAGTAAGAGTTCAGGAGCAATACACATGTGTAGCGGCATATTAAGATCGTTGTGATGTGTCACAAATGGTCGCGCAATTGCTCCACCAGCATTCGTGTTCATCATAGGTGTCTCAAACTGCATAAAATTTTGAAATATATCACAAATGCGGGGAAAGAAACACTTGAACCAAAGCAACAATCTAAAAGAGTGGGATATTTTGTAAGAAAATGAGAAACATAATTAACCTCTTCGAATTTTTTATTTTTCAGGAAACTTCGGATGTAGTCGACGATCTTAACTCTGGCGCTGAGTACCTGGCGAACCTCCACAGTCAACCTCATATCAAGGTATCGCTGGCGATATCGAGTTTCCTAACAACAAAACAGTAACATCAGCAACTTGCCTAGATAGAAGCAGAACAATAGAAATCTAAAAACACCAACATGATCAAAACTGATCGTACCGGATCTTTGAGAACATATGCTTCAGGATTTCTCGGTTGACCTGGAACCCAATTTAAAGTGAGATGATCAGCTGTTCTCGGCATCGTGTGGAGGGAATGTGACAAGAGAATGAATAATCTAGGAAAGATACTCAACTCTCCTCTCTTCGTTTTCCTATAGTAAACAATTGTTAACAATGAAAAGGATATACATTAGTATTGGAGGTAACTTGGAAAGCAAGATACAAACCTGGAAAGCCAGTGACACCAACATAATCACCACGCTTAGTAGTGGCATGGAGCTTTGAAAACTCAGCTTCATCCAACTCTGACTTACTTCCATCAGCCATAACTTGGACCTTGAGATCACTACCGTATAGATCATAGAAGAAAAGCTTGGAAGACGAAGATCGCTTGCTCATTATCCACCCAGCTAGAGATACTTGTTCATCTTCAACATGATCCCCTTGCTTAAACTAGCATACTTGTCAATGTATTCAGGAATGGACATTGACACATAAAACTTATGAGGGAATGGATTCTCCCCCTTAGCCATCTCTCCCTCAATATATTTCAATCTATTCTCATAGTATTGCTGCAAAAAAAAAGAAAAAAAGGCTCTAGATTCAATGATTCATACATAGAAATATATCTCTGCATTATTGCATACGATAAAAGTTGCACACAGTTGGATCCTCATCATCTGCTGCTACTTCCTTTTTCTTCTTGAAGTGGGAACTATAAACGCTGGTGAGGCTATATGTAGTACAGAAAACAAATAACACAAGAGAATTTTTTACGATGTTCGTTTCCTACTCCCCCGGACCACATCCAGAAATCAAATCCACTAGAACCAGAAAGCAAATACAACTTATTCGCAAATGCGTAAATCAAGTACAACTTCTTAATTTACTGCTCTGTTCAATAACATGGATTCTTCAGGATAACCTAATCTTGAGCTAAACTCCCCCTGAGCCTAGACTTGAGTTTTGTGGAACCTCCACACACCAACACGCACTGTTGGCAATGACACGTAACCAACGGCACACAGCCACGAGAAACCTTCTCACCAACTCACTTGATCAGCTCCAGCAACACGAACTGGT